ATATCTGGGTGCTCCAACATGTCTCTCTTCCACTTTCTGAAAGAATGCTGAAAAACTGAAATATCTTTGTACACTAAGAAACCTTTGACTTTTAAGTGCCATTCTGAGTTTGGGAGTTCATTTGAATGGGATATGAGATAAAATCTTCATTGTATTTTTCTTTAAGGACTTTTCCTACTGCTTAATTGAAACAAGTTCTGAACTTGTAATTAATCTTTAATAGTGTTGTTCATTTAAATATAGTTCTCTTTCATAATCTTGTATCTTTCATAATCAAATTAATTCCAAAACTTGGTAAATGACTGCAGTGCATGTAAGATAATACACTGTACAATTCATGTCGCATTTTGTAATGCCTAAGGATAGCCCTGCATCAGACCAAAGGTCCATCTAGCCTAGTATCTTCAACAGTAGTCAAAAAGAGGCACTTTAAGCATAGGGATAGAGGAAGCACACAGTGATAACATCATCCAACTTCCAACTCGTTGAGCTTCCAGTTTTATAGCTCAGGGACATCTTGTAATACTTTAGCTTACTGTGTTTAATAATCCTCAATGGATTTCTTTTTTGCAGATTTGTCTGCTCTTAAATCCATGTAAACTTGTGGAATCTGTAATCCCTTAAGGTGTAGAAGTCCTTCCTACGTATTATGTTCTTATGAAAAACAATCTTTTTCTATGTCTCAGCAAAGATGGCCAGCAACTTCTGGGGCTGCATTAGAAAGAGCGTTGCCAGCAGGACAAGAGAGGTGACCCTTGCCTTGTACTCAGCACTGGTGAGGCCACATCTGAAGTGCTGGGTCTAGTTCTGGACTCCACAGTACACGAGGGACAAGGACAGACTGGAATGAGTCCAGCAAAGGGTGACTGAGATGATTAAGGGCTTGAAGTATATGACATATGAGTAGAGACTGAGAGAGCTGGGACTGTTCAGGAGAAGAGAAGGCTCGGGGGGATCTTGTCAATGTGTATAAATATGGGCGGGTGGGGGGCAGGGTAAAGAAGAAGATTGAGCCAGACCTTTCTCAGTGCTATCGAGTGGACAAGAGGCAATGGGCACAAACTGAAATACAAGAAATTCTGCTTAAACAGTAAAAATCTTTTTCACTGTGAGGGTGATGGACCACTGGCACAGGTGCCCAGAAAGATTGTGGAGTCTCCATCCTTGGAGATACTCAGAACCTGACTGGACACAGTCCTGGGTAATGGTCTCAAGGTGACCCTGCTTGGACAGTGGGTTTGAACTAAATGGTATCCAGAGGTCTCCTCCTACCTCATCTACTCCTTGTGATTTTGTATACTTAGGACTGAGTCAAGCAATGACTCCCTAACCATCAGCAGCTCCACAGGGGAGTTACTGGATGTGTCTAAAACATTTAGTCACTGTGTAATACCTCAGTGTATTCCACTTGGGATGACATTAGAGTCAAATGGCAGGAACAAGTTTAGGTGTTTTATGGTATGGCCCTCTCTCTCTCCTCTGCAGACTTTTTATCTTAATATTTATAGCCCCGCAATTTCTGCCCATTCTCCCATCCTGTGTTAAGTTCTTGAAGGCTAAACGTTCTGGTCGGTCCATTTTGTATTATTATCTAGGTGTGTCTCTGCCCCACTTGGTTAGGCTTTCTTTTCTGGATCCTAAACAAATATCAGTATATGTGGTATTATCTTTCTGAATGGCATTGCCACTCAGAGGAACTAGAAATTCAAATAACCTTCCATTTCCCAGTGTTTTTTGTTGTTGTTATTTTCACTGTACCATATGGAACAACATTTAAGGCCAGAAGATTAAAATAAAACATGGAAACATGTTTACTGTGGTTTTGTGAGGAAGGATCGTATTTTGTAGAAAAAGCCATGCATTTACTTCCTATATACAAACTCTTTAAGTTTTCCAGATGCAAATGCTAATCCTTAATGCTTTAAATAAATAAGAAAATAAATCATAGCCGAATGCTACAGCCAAACAAACATTTGGTATGTGACTTCTCTGGTTCCAATAAAAGGCAAGAAAAATTTCTTTTGGTAGATGTCATCAGCTATAATACAGTTTTTCATGGACAGCTTATCTTTCTTTTAGCAGATGAGCACCCTATTTTAAGAGTTGAAATCACATTAAAGACCAAAAAATCAAAGATTGCAAATAGTTTGGGGGAAAAAAAAAAAGACTCTTTAAGGAGCTTATGTTCTAAAGTGGTTTTTTGCATGTGCTTAGAGATCTAGGAGCATTGGTTTATCTTGGCATTTGAGCAAGTTTCTTACTCCATTCTTACAGCTGTAATTTGTGGCCATAGAATTCTTCCTGAAGGAAGCCTGACTTATCAAAACATCTATTTTTTCATCTTCAAAAACACTTCTGGGCTCTTACTTTAAAGAAAAGAAAAAAGATAACATACACTGAACATGAATGAGAGACGAGAGATTAGGTTACTGGCATTGCTTGATATTTTAATGGGCTATTACTACTTTTAGTAGTGCTCAGTGACTCACCTGGATCACAGCCTTAATGCACTATACAAACGAGTAGTGCTGTTTGGGACTTGATAATATTTTTTATGTGCAACTGGGAAATTTTTTTGTGAACTGATAAACCCAATGAACTTGCCTGGAGGTTGTTGATAAAGCTTAGAACATTTTCTCCTTATTATAACAACGTAACATTTTCAGTATATACATGATTTTAACATAACTTGTATCTGTAATACTGTTTAGACAGAGATCTCTCACAAAGTATTACCAATTTTTTTTTATAGTCATATGGTAAGTTATTTAATTCTGTGATGATTAGATTTAAAAAACCCTGAGAACCATGCTTTCAAGTTCAGTACTATACCGTAGAAGAAATGTTCTCAGTCAGGGTACATACTGTCAGATACTACAAGACTGCTTCAGGTGCACAATTTTTTCACTTCAGACTTACTGGCAAAACAACCTCAGATTTTTCAGTATCTTTTAAGAGTGTCAATATTAGTTTAAATCTGATTTTTTTAAAAAAAGAAAGATTGGTGTACAAATTGATAGCACTAATTTGAAGATTTCCAAACAGGCATAAATATTTCTCTCATCAGTTTTTATGGACTGTTTAGATCAGGAGAAATAGGTCTTGAATGAAAATTCAGTTACAGCAATACTTTCTTAACTGGAAGTGTTGGATTGCTTTCTGATTGTAGACTGGTGATAGATCAGTTTGCGATACTAGGCAGGTGATCTAATGTGAAAATGGGATAGTAGAATAGCAGGTAGAAGATACTTGGAAACTAGGAGATGGTTTATTTTCAAGAAATTTGAATATACTTTCTGCAGTAATTGTATGCATTTTTGACTGCATTTTTGTATTTGCATGGATTCTGATCCACACCAAGTTCTGTGCTCTAGGGATAGCACTTGCAGGAATTCTCAGTTTGAAGCTCATAGCTCTAATACGTAGTAGCATAGGAATAATTTTGTTAAATAAATTATAGAAACATCACAACATTGTTTATATCTGAAATAATTCTACATTTATTTTATGTATTTTAAAAGATACTATATTGGTTTTGTCTCCATTTACTCAAAGCCAAGAGTGCCATTAGTTATTTAAGTGTTTGACAACCTCTTACTAGAGGGAACATTCCAAAGTTTTTAACCATGCTTTTCTGTATTAATCCCTCAGTGAAGGGATGAGATGCTTCACAATTCAGCCTATTTCATCAGTTTACCATACAGATTGAAGAGGCAGAAGGATGTTGGTCTGTACTCAGAGAATGTAAATAAAAAAGGATAAAATGTTTTTGGAGTAACTAAGTGTTAAATGTGTTAGTCAATTTTCTAGAGTACATAGACTTTCTACCATGGACTGCTCAAATGTTCTTTCCATGAAAGTAAAGTTTTTGGAGCAGAAATTCCGAAAGTGGTTTCTAAGTTCCTGTTTCTACAGAGACAGCTGATATGGCAAGAAAATCTCATATCCAGATGAACCGTACGTCATCCTGTTATGCCTTCACATGTTAAGCCTTTGTGTAGTGTGAGAGGTAATTCATCATGCCTTGCAACTTTTTCTTTCTTGTTTCTAACTTGTGACATTTTTTCTGAGACCATGTCAGCGTGACAGAATCTTCCTCATTTTCATATAGATATAACAACTTTAATTGAAGCTTTCTCACTGAGAGATGGATCTGGCCTATGCATTAAGTATAATACTTTGACAAGTAGAACGCTTGAAACATTTTATTCAAGTCATTTTCACATAAACTTGCAACCATAATACGGGCATGTAACACAAGAATATGAAAGTGCAATGAAGAATACAAAGCTAGTGCCTGAATATTATAAATTAGAGCTCTTCAGATAAAGATGCAAAGTTGTTGAAGTAAGACTCTTGGCAGAAAAGTGAAGGAAATAATGAAAAACCTTCAAAAAAGTTGCAAAAACGAGTGGCATTTCACTGTATCTGTAGCATTTAGTTGCATAATAAAAACCTCCCAATAACATACTCTTTAGTTTTAATTCAAGTTAAAATCTTTCAGCACCTTTTAGGATTTGGAGAAAATGAAAATGCCTTATCGGCATAAATGTGAGACACAGGATAAACCACCTTTCAATGTCTCATTTATGAAATTCACCCTGCTGGTTTTGAATGAGTACCCTGCAAACAATGCATGAATGACTATAGGAAGGTACATGTGGTGTTTGCACTCATTCAACACTGCATAGTAAACTCTGGAGCAGAGAGAAAATGAGTAGACTTTTACTAACACAAAAACATCATCTACACAATATGTTGGTTCCATTGGTGACCAATCTGTCATTTTTGTTACACTTTCGTCTACAAATACGCAAATATCAAATGTATTTCAGGATTAAAAAAAATATATAACAAACCCCTCCTGTAATGAGCCTGACATACAGTATGTTCCTTATGTGCAATTTTTATCTAAAGATCTGAAATGTGGGAGGTAATTGCTTCACACACATTTTTATGATTTGGCTTTTCAAAGGAAATTTGAGACTGCAAGACAGCAAATTCGTACTAGAATTCTCATAAAATTTAAATCTGATTTTGCTCCCACTGAGACCAATGGCAAGATGCCCTTCAAAGATGATGGGAATAAGCCCAATGTCTGGTACAAAAGGATTCCAAAATATAATTTGCTGTATAAAATAAGCTTTTATCAAAACAGTTTTTATAAATGTTTTTCAACAAAAATGCACGTAATCCCATAAATATATTCCAGTATGAAAAAAGTAAGTTAAGGTGTCTGGGTCAAAACTGCAGAGCCAAGGTACTGAAAATACTGGTTGGCACTCCCCTATTCAGAACTACTTCTACACATGCTATATAATAAACTCTTCTACTTCTACTGCGTTGTGATTTACTATAGTTAAACAGGGGAAGTTAAAGTCACATTCCTTCATTTTTTTTAATCCTAAAATCCCTTGTTTTTCTAAATAGACTGTTCATGTTATCTTAGGCAATTTTTGTGCTATTGTACATCACTGTCATGTTGCTTAACACACATTTCAAAACAAATACAATATTTTGCTACGGAAAAAAAAGCTACATTTTTGTAGCTACAATATCCCCAATATTCAAAGTTATGGCGTTCAACACCTTTCCGAACCAGGCCATTCCCACTGAAAGGACTAAGTCCAGTATTACAACTTGCTCCACCTACACGGATGCTCAAGGTCCTCTGGCTCCTTGCTGACTTCAGTGGAGTTCTGCAAGTAGTTTGGGTATAGACATGTGAGCAGGTTACTGCCTCGTAAGCCGAGGGATACACTCAGTTTCTGTGGCTGCTCTGCGTCCAGTTAGGGCTCTCTTATCCCACATTCAGCATCAGGCACAATGAGGTACGAGCACACAACCTCTTACCAGGAAGCAGCCCGTGCCCACAGCCTAGCTTCCATTACAGTAGCTTTTGTGTCCATTGCCCAAGCTGCTACCAGGACTTTCACCCCAATTTTGACCTAAGTCTATAGAAAGGTGAATGCACTTGCATCCCTTCACACCTCTTAATCTCAAAAACTCTTTGGGCTGAGATTTCAGAAGCCTAGACTTTAAACAGACCCTCATTTTTGCAGACATATGTAATAAATGGCTTTCTAATAAACCTAGTTTCCAAATTTTGCTTCTGTTCATTGCCCAATACTGGTGACTGATTGCTAAAATGGATCTCTCAGCAAACAAAACGGGACCTGCAGGTATAAATGGCATTCATTCTGCACCCACTCTCAATGTTCGGTAGTAATCACTGGGTTGCTGGTTCTTACGTTCTTTTTAAGTATACACACTAGTTGTGCAAATTTGTAACCAAGTTATGATCAAGATGGAAATACTTCATAATCATGAAATAAGCTTAAATATATGTAGGAAAGAACAAGTTGATCCTTAAAGGATACTACGATAATTCATAAAACTTCCAAACTAAATCCATAGGGTTCTACTGTGTAAAATACTTCCAAATACTGCCTGAAGTATTCTCAATAGTGATAATAAAACCTCTCCACACTCCTCAGATTTTTCATTTTTTAACTACACCGAATAGCACATGTATTTTTCAATATTTTTTAAACAATATTGAGATTTCCATGTTTCATTAGGTGTTTTGAACTGCTGATTAAACTTAACCAATACCAATCAATATTTCTAGGTCCCTTTGTTTCAAAAGTAGATCCTTCATTTTACATGATCAGAAATCTTCTGAAAAAAACGCCAGATCCCCTTGTGATATGTCATTTCACAGTTTAAAAACAAAATCACAGCTACTGTAGCTTACAGCAGGGTGCACTGCAAAAGCAAAATAATTTGGGGATGGGAAGAGGAGTGGTGTACCCAGCACCAGTTAAGCAGTTCAGCAAAAACTTTAATTTGGGCTGGAAGTTTTTCCCCTTGACAATGTTGTATTTGGTTCCTGAACAGCCTAAAGTAGGATGTTAAATACATTGACTTTTGTTCTCCCTCTATATATAGTATATTTTCAACTTCATTGTTTGAATACTGAGATATACATTTTTAAAGTCAAATACAGTACTTAAGGGGAAAGCAGGTAGTAGGCTTTTTCACGATAAAAACACTTTGTTAGAGATTCTGACCTACTTCTGTTTGTGGTGCCACCTGAGTTAATTGCCTGTATTATTTTGATGGTTAACCTGTTCAAGTTGGATGTTTTTCACAGATGACTACATCAGGGACTCTTCATTGTCTCCAAGAGCCCTCTTCTTGACAGGTATTTATTTTTATCCACATTAAGTTTGCAGAAGTCTTTTAAAAGCCCCACCTTGAAAAATCTCTTGAACATAGAAAGGTGGATAAGTTCTTTAATTCATTTCCACAGATGAAAGGTTTCTTTCAAAACCCCATCTGTTTTTTACTTAAGAAAATGGAAAAACTTCTAATGTATTAAAAATGTAAACATAACTTTTCTTGCAGGGGTATAACTGATATATATATATATATATGTATTTCTCTGCTATATGTTAATATTCCTTGAAAACTGAACATACTTTTCTCATTCATATCAATGTGTCCTAGCAAGTTTTATTTTAATGGTACTGTAGCATTACTCTTAAGCTGTTTTTCATTCTGGTATTTTCTGAGATAGCTGATGTTAGTACTTTCTATTGCATTTTATTTAATTCATTTTACATAAATTTTTGCTACCTTTTAAAATATGTTCAATTCATTCACCAGTAATATTCCCACTGAAGTCTATTATCAACTGAACTCCAAATTTTCAGGAGTTAAGAAATGCTTATGTTTTTATGAATGAGTTAGATTTTCAAAATTTAAAGTATCTGTGCATGAATCACCAGTTCCACACATTTCATAGTAATAAAAGTAATGCCAATTTAAATGCTTAAAATCCAGTTACAGATTTGGTTGAGAAGCAGCTGAAGTGCTTCATAATCACATAAGGTGTGTGGGTGTATGCGTGTATGTTCTGTAGTTTTGTTTCTATAGTGTTTACATCCTATTGAAGTTTATATAATGATACTCCAGTTCAAAACATTTGGCACCGTCTCATCCATTTTCTTGCATCTTTCTCAGTATCTGTTGAAAGAGAAACAATGTTATGCAGATGACTACAAAAAGAATATCTGCTACACACCCTTGTGTCAGCTTGAAGGCGCAGGTCAACAAACAGTATCAGGAATTTTGTTTCCTCACCCTGCATGAACGTATTTCGTTGATAACATTTGCAGAGCTAAGATGGGGACACTAAAAGTTAAGGGCGTGAAGCATAAATTTCCCTTCCACGTGAATGTGAGCAAAACGGTGTTCCTAGGAGTAATAGTCAGTCAGTCCTGTTACAGAGAAATGCTTTAAAAGCTCCTGCCACAGGTCCGCCAAAAATAATCATTCATGACCTGCAGGACGCCTATTGTTCTTTTTCTTCCATTTCCTACAAGTCTGACCACCACACGGCGAGAACAAATAGAGGATTTTGCTGAAGCCATTTAACTTGTCGCATTTATGATCAAAGTGTGATTATAAATACAGATCTCCACACTGGCGTGAAAAAATGTTTCTCATTTTAACCTCATTTAACTACTGGTTTCCTAATACAAAGTAAGGAATGAGTATTTTAAAGGCCAGTTAAGCAACAGTGACATTAATTCAGTACGTTTGTTTCACTGATGCTGTTACAGCAGACTATACTGGTCAGTTATTTTACTTTTCATTTGCTCCTCTGGAATTTATCTCCCATGAACCTCTATACAATGTTAATACTCACTCCTTACGCAATCCAAATGAAACCGCCTGATAAATATTTTTTTTGTACGAGCAACTAATATATTGTCCTGAGAACTGCTTACCTCTGTGTTACAGAAGACTGATTGCTTTTTGCGTGTGTTTCATGGATACTAAGCTACAGTAGACCTACCATGAGAACATCAATTAAATGAATTTGCCTTTTTGAAGGGGAAAAAAAAAGCCGTAATTGCGGCATTGTTTAAACTTTTAAAGAACTAAACTGTAAATGGAGTGCGTCTGGAAGAACTGTTTCAGGGAGGATGGCTGCTGTGTCAGCAAAGTAACATACATGTGTGGGATTTTGCAGAATGTTTTAAGAGCTCTGTAACTGCTCAACAGTTCTGTGTGGATGCTATAAATGGGTATTGAATGAGCACAGAAAGGTTTTAGTGCAAATACAAAGAAGGCATGAGCCAGAGGTAGTTATCTAGCAGCCCAGACAGTAGCAGCAATTTTGAAAGTGCTATATATCCTGATGGCACAACTGCAAGAGCAAAATTCTCACTTACGATTGTTTTTCAAGACTAAATAATTTTTAAAAATCAGTGCTAGCCTTATGGAAATAGTTTAATTACCGAAGGTCAGGATTTGAAAGCTATGTAGTTATCAACAGCGAAGCAACTGTTCCTATCATTCCTGCCAAAAAAGACCTTTGAAAAGTGCCATATGAATTTTGAATTAACACCCCTGATCCTGAATCCCAAGAAATGACATACTGAAGAAATTGATATCACTAGAATTAATGGTGGGAGTTATTTTTTCAATACAAAGTAAATCTGTAAGCTTTATAAATCTGTTTGTCAACTTTAGTACTATGAATTTAAAACAGTTGCAGAGACAAAGGAATGTACTTACGGTGAAATTGTACAGCCAGAGGCATATGCATGGTGGCCTGTATAGCGTATATCGCAGCGTACTATATTGTTGGAGTAATCAGATTCAGGCACCAAATAGCTGGGGTTTACACTCACCTTAAGGGGAGAAAGCACAATGTTGTCTACTTCCAGGTTTGAGTTGATAACTTACATTCAAAAGGACATATACAAATTATTTGCTTCTTTAAAAAACAACAATAAAAAAACCAAACCTCCCCACTCCCAATACCCTTACCTTCAGAATGTAATTTCCAGGTTTTACATCTGTAATATCAATCCACTGGCAATCTATATCAGCATTGTAAGTGTCGTAGCAGCCAGGGCTCAGTCCCTTAAAAATGAAGTTAAGATGGATGTCAAAAAATCATTAGGAATAGTACTATTCTAGACATTAGGGACACTCAGACTGAAGCTCACTTAACCATCACATTTCACTAAGAAAATTACCTCAGGAAATGAGGCTTATTTTTTCTTGGCATTTTATTTTAATATCTAAACTAGAACACGTAAGTCTAACATATCACTTTTATAGACAGCACTGTATTACTGCATAAGAAACACCTATACTACTAATACTTGTTCATCTGTGAGATATCTGTATTTTATCTGTATTTTATTGTCACTTGTTACAGTACTCCTTTTCTGTAAATATTGTTCATGCTATTACTCAATATTCTTTACAAAAGGTGAGAATAAAATCAAAACTGACCAAAGACTGGACCTAAATATCTGTAAATCTCAAGTAAATAGCTTCTGAGGTCCTTGAGTACAAACTTAATGACTGTGTTGGAACCTGTCTCTACCCTTAGGAATGATGCAACTTTTTGCTATAGATGTACTCTGCCAAAGTGCCATCTTTGAATAGTAGAGTCTAGGGCCATTTTCACATTGAGTTTTGCACAGAAACGGCACCTCTTCAGGCAAATAGTGACACAAGAATCTGAGAGAACTGAAAATGTAGCCTTTCTTCCAGATGAATCTTTTCTGAAAACTTCTTTGCTGTTAGGAACATCAGTAAGAATCTCCATATATTAATGTATCAGTGGTTCAAATCTGGTGTCTTTAACCGTGGCAATACAGATTGCTCTAGGCAAAGCTGATCTGTTCTGGCGACACACAGAGTGCACAAAACCCAAGTCCTGCAGGAATTCCCTCTTGACCCAGCTGGTGATCAGCTCAGACTCTCGCATGTATGTGCCAAGTCTGAGGCTGGAGGAAAGTTTTACAGTCCAATTACAAACCCCTGAAATATGGGCTTCCAGTGGAAACGCTGACACAGCCATGATTCTAGTGACACAAATACTCCAGCTGTAAAATATGTGTGTTGCTTAGTTAGATGTCATAGTCTACAGAAGGAGAAAAGATATTTATAAAACCTCTTCAAAGCCCTTATGCATTTCAGATCATTCATTACATTTAAAATTCAAATGTGGACACGTCAGCCAGTGAAGCATAGCTGTCATTTCTCCGTGATAAAATAACCACCTCCTAGATTAAAAACTGCAGAATAAGGGATACAAGTTTATGTATAAGTGGCCATATTGAGTTTGACCACAGATCAATCAAACTCAGTGTCATGCCTCTGACAGTGGTCAGCAGCAGATGCTTGAGAAGAAAAGAACATAAGAAATGGGATGTGTAATCTCCTTTACACAAGCAAATTCCTTCCACCAGGCATTTAACTGTATTTAAGACATGGGGTACCATCAGATTTTTGTTTAATAGCCTCCATTACTTTGTCTAAATTTTTTTGAACCCATGTAGATATTTTTGATCTCTGCAACATCCTATGGCAAGGAATTTAATACTCTATTCATGCGTCAGAAGAGCACTCCTCTCTGTTTTAAAGCTGTTGTCTGACTGTTCTTTTGGATATCCTTACATTCTTGTACTGTGAGAAACAGTGAATATCAACAATTTCCTCTTTCCATCCAGGACCACTCAAGATTTGGTATTATTTCTGTTTTTTCCAAATGGAATAGTCTATGAAATCTCTTAGCGTGGTAGCCATATTACACTGCTGATCATCCTTGTTCTCCTGGGGTTGGCTGGCTTGGTTTTTTAAGCTTTTCTGTACCAGTTTTGAGAGGTGGTGACCAGAACTCCATGCAGTATTCAAGGTAGGAGTCTATCATGGATTTGTATAATATCATAATGGTGCATTCCACTTTTTATCTATTCCCTTAATAAGCCCTAACACCTTGCTTTACATTTGTGTATGACCCATCATGATGTTCACATGGCCGCCATTCTCTTTAACAGCCTTCCATAGACGCATAAAACTATGCTGTAAGTTTTCCGTGTTGGACTGCCAGCTGGTAGCTGTAGGTATTAAGGGAATTCAGCACCTTGCAGCCTCATGCTCTGCAAGGGAGAAAATACTAGCTATGAACTCTGGGACCAGCCAAGGACACCACCGAGCAGTTTGTGGGGGATGAGCAGTGGAAACGACTTCCTTACTGACTCTGTCTTGAGTTCCCTTTAGCTCACTTGACCAGTCCTATTACCACAAGAACTTGTGGTGTGTTTTAATATAGTTCAGTTACCAGTGATGCTAGGCTAATGAGTGTCCCTGCATTTTAATGAGACACCCACATTTAACAGCACCTGGGTAAATTATAAGTCTCCAAGTTGCTATCCTGGCCTCTATGATGGAGAATTTCAGAGCTAGTTAGGGCATCAGATAATTTACAGCATCTGATGATCGGTAGAAAAAAAAAACAAGAGATAAATTAGAGGGGGAAAAGAAACTTGGTTGTCTCTGAACCAACTCTTACCTGTGTATGTGCTGTACATGCGTACCGTCTGTAATATCCATAATCACACGAGGTATCTTCCAGACAGAAACTTGCTTTGTGTCCTTCAGCAACTTTTCTGTGTGAGCTTGCATCCAACAAGTCATAGTGGCTGAATTCATCCATGCTGTGATAATGTCTGTTAAACCACAGATACATTATTAAACATGGATCAGATCTTGTCAATAACATTTTAACATATTCCTATTTTATCTACCTTTTGTTAGATCTGGCCAAATTTTATTTATTACACAACTTGTGTATTAGTATACTTTCCTATCTACTGGCCATTCAATTAAGTTTTATTTTCATTTTAATTTGTTAAGGGAAAGACTTCATAGCAGCAGTGTTTTTCCAAAATTTCCTGTTTCAGCTCTTTTCCAATAACAATAGCAAATACTAAGTAGTTCATATTTGAATTGTACATCTTATAACTGCCTTTAGCCAGAGTTTTGCTAGGAATGCTTACCTTACATACTATAAATTCCAGGAAAGTTTGCTACTTGCTAGCAAAAACCCAACAATTTACTTTCACATTTCCATGGCCCTCAGTCAATGTAACACATTCATAACATTAGCAAAAACAGAATCTGCATGAAGAAATCAGCTTCTGTGTACTGGCAATGCAGATCTCGTCCAATGTCAACAATTTTTGTAGTCTGTACTTAATGTAGTCTCTATTTCAAACGTGTGTATGCTTTTGATCTGGGCACAGTGATGCATTTTTCTTGCTCTCACACAAAGTGGGTTCTAGCTCTTACTGTGGACTTGAACACCTATTATTCTTGTAATTTCACTTTTTCCAAACACGTGGAAAATTAAACTTGTACTATCTACCTGCACTTTGTCTGTGCAGCATTTGACTGCTGTTACTTACGAATGCTTTCAGCTCAAGAGGTATATGAGAAAGATATAATTAAACAGAATTCAAAAGTATTGTTAAAACAAAGAGGAGCACACAAGTCTCACAAGCATGCATGTCAAGAACACTAAAACCAGTCCACAGATGATGATGACTAACACTGAAGTCTGATGGCTAGCCAAACTAATTGGCAGCTATAGTTCATTTCCAAATGAGCTTGTTCCACTGTCATGGAAATGATCACGAGAAATGCATTTTTTTTGTAGGCAATGTATTTTCTGTCCAAGAACTGAATCAACATCAGAGACACTTTGCATCTGGATAGCGATAGCTGGGCTATCGTGGCAGAGTAAGAAACTGCTTTTCTACAAATGGAAGATTTCAATTGCTCTCTATCCATTTCATCCACTTACCAACTTTGTAAGCACCAGGGTTGGGGGTTTTTTTTGTTGTTGGTGGTGTTTTTTTTCAGGGGTGGGGGTTAACTGAAGTATTTATGGAGGGTTTTTTTGTTTGGTTTAGTTTTAGCTTTTTGATCCTTACAAGATTTATAAACTAGTAATATCAGTCTTTTTTGAAAGAATTTGTTCTAATGACACTGATTTTCATTAGATTGTGATACTTCAAAGCTTAAAGCTTCTGAAGCTAGAGAGAAATATTCCATTGACTCCAGGGGCCTTTAGATCAAGCCCACATTACATATTATTTTTTTAATAGAATAATATTAAGTTACCACTTATGTACCCGTAACAGCAGAATTGTATTTTAAGTAAGGTGGAAGTAAGGTAAGCTTTCTAGTATTTTACAATTGGTCCTGCTACGAAATAGCAAAAATTGGAACAAACCTGGAAACTGTTGCATGTGAATTTTCTGAAAAGGTACAAGTTTGCAGTGTTGTCTGCTCCCAAAATGTTGAAAATGTTCTACTACATTTGCCTTGCCATGTTTCCAGCAATTTTGCTATTTCTAGAGCAGTACTGCTATGTGAAAGTATCATGATATGATAAGGATATTGATAATGGGATCAGTCAACTCAGAATCTTCTCTTTTCCATATTGACCAGACCATTCCTTGTCAAGAACTAACCCATGAAATTCAGGTCAAGAAGTATGGGTCAATGTTTACAACGATGTGTTACAGGGAACATGCTAGTAAATGTACATTTTAGGGTTTCCACAGTTATTTTAACATGATTGGGACTTTTATTTACTGGTTCCACTTAAATGTAACTGGACTGTGACCTATGTAAAATATACTTAAAGGAAAAAGGTGCCACTATCAAAACTGATTTGAGACTTGTATTTATAATTAATTTATACCTGAAAGAGTTTTGTACTTATAGATAAGCTTCATATACATTTTGGTTTCATGTGGCTATATAAAGAGTAGTTACCACTACCATAAAATTAATCAGACAGTAAAAGGCTAAAGTTTCCCCATGGCTTCCCCCCTGCTTCACTGCAGTTTTAGAAAATGTCACCTTATAAGTGACAATTTGTTAGTGAAAAAGATAATTAGAAGGTTCCATACTGAGCACTTCACTCACTGGTGACAGCTGTGCCACTCCCATGAATAACGGGGTCTGCTGGGCAGAAAATCTGACGTGCCTTGATTTTTCACTCTTTGGGGGAATCTCAGAAGCACCCGATTGTCATAGTCTCTAACATCTGCTCGATAAGCTGAACTGTAATAATGCAAAAAAGAGCCGTAAGTATATGCAAGAAACACTTTAAAAAAACATTTATGTTGTCTCAGAAGTAACTGATAGCGTAGATCTTTTCAGCCCCCTTAAAGCTCATGCATTGGAGACGCACAAGATTTCCACATGGTGTGCTCAGAAGTGCCTGGTGTCAGAACAAGACCTGAGTAAGATTCAGATCTGCTTCTAATAATATAAACAGGAGTTTGACCACTGACTCTGCCTCGGCCTCTGAAGCAGATCACTGCTTAGCTGTAAAATTACGCTGGTACCAAAAATACAGTTTCATTAGTTGCTGTTAACCAAAATAGCTCACTGTGTATGTAAGATCACACAACAGATGTTTGTTTCTATTGCAACAAAAATGAATAAACGTATGCCTCAGGCTATATTTTCCTATTTCACGTAGCTATTATCTACAGTCTTTTAAATACTGGAATATTTTAATCAACTGATAGCCAGCAAGAACATTTCAATTAGTCTTCACTGTAAAGTTAGCATAAAAAACACTGCTTCTTATGCCATGTTTTCTTTTTCCAGCAAGTGAAGAAAGAGCATGACCCTGGAAACAGTCTGACATCAATTAATGATGCTGGTAAATAAATAAATGTGTTTTGCATGATAAGGTATCAAACAAGTTAAAATGGTTAAAAACAGCCATGTTGATTTCTTTCCAAACAAAACAGGAAAAATCCCTCTTTGCCAACTGGACAGGACCTAACTTCATAGCAAAGCTGTTATTTCAACCCATTAAAAGACTCTGAAACACTTCTCAAGGAGATTTTAGTCTTAAGAGACATTACAAGGCATAGGCCCAGAAACAATTAGCATGTTATAATTTTAATAGTAACTTGTGCTGGTTAAGAATAGGGTTGTTTTTGTTTTTTTTTTTAAATGGGGTAGAATATGATCTTGTTGGATTAGAGGAGGGAGATGAAAATCACCAGATTCAAGTGGGTTTTTTTAGGTGCCTCCATTTTGCAACATTCAGATATGTCCAAATGAGCCTGATAATAGAAATGTGCAATATAACTTTTCATAAAAAGTGGGTTTTTCAAATCATCTGTAGTTTGTCTCTCTACTATGGCGGTATTGTTTTCTTATGTGCACACCCTACCATCTACCACAGGCTTAGAAGAAGGTTACAAACTGGGCTATGTTTCCTCGGGCCCTCCAGCCTCACTTTTCTCCACTCTTCACCATGTCCTCAGGTACTCTGCGGTGGGTGCGGGAGCACAAGATCCCACAGTGGACAGGCAAAGGCCAGGGTGATGCCTACCTTGCCAGGCAGTTCTCCTCGGCAGCGCATCTCAAGTTATACATGGACATCCTCTGGACATACGTGGACGCCTGGATGTAATAGGGATCCGGGACTAAGTCAGGGAGACCTGCAGTTCATCAAACCAACCACATAACAGCAAGATCAACCCAGGACACGTCTGCAAATACTTGGCTTCCATCCCAGTCGTTAGGAGCCGTCGTTTTGCCACGGACCCCTGCCCCCATTAAGCTCGCTCTCCCTTTTGCTCAGGCCCTTC